CCTAGAGGTTTAGTTCTTCGACATTCACTTTATCTTTATTGTCCTTCATCCTGCAGCCATGTTCTGTTGAAGTAACCCATTTCCTATTGCTTTCTATTTCGATTATCTATGCACAGCTTTATTGCAGGTTTTGATGAGTGATTCAGATGCTTATGCTTACTCACATCTATTTGAAAAATATAAGTACAAATCACTTGTTCCGCTTAACGTCTTTCCCGATGATCTTTTGTGCTTTTACTTTTCTTTCCAAGGCTGCGTTTATTGATCCTTTTCTAGATCTGAACGTAAGCGTACATATACATGAACATATAGCCATACACATGTTAGAAGATAGGGTGAAGAAAATACAGTGGTGTGGGACTTGAGAAACGTTAATTGTTTAATGGATATTCTGTCGCCATAGCGAAGGGACTTGGAAAACGAAGAGAAACGGAAGAAAAAGTAATTAAGGCGTGATAGAGAAGAAGAAACTGGGTATAAAATACATCTTTTTCTTTTTTCTTTCTTCTTTTTTTTCTTTTTTTTTTTCTTTCTTTCTTTTTTCACTAAAGTCTCCTTAACAATGAAACCAGTAAATAACCATTTGTTACTCATAAGGAAAGAAGAAATGTACTTCTCAAACAGGGACTATTGACGAAAGGAATAACATCGCATACGACGCTGTTTATACAACAACACTTGCATCAGCCCAAAAACACACGATTCTGCCTGCTCAGCTCTTTCTTGCGCCGAGCTTTTCACTCTCGCTCCGGGCCTCCGAGTGTTTCTCTTTGGTTATTGATTGATTTTCTATCTACCCGCATATGTCTACTTTTTTCTCTTCCACTTTCTTTCTGGTGTGTGTGGTTGTGTGTGTTGTGGTGTGGGTGTGTGTGTGTACGTGTGTGTGTTGTGTGTGTGTTTCCCTCTCCCTTCCTTTCTTCCTACTCCTCTTTTCCCTCCCTCCCTTTCCTTCTTTTTTCCTGTTCCTCCTCCCTTTCGCTTCCTTCTTCCTCCTCCTCTTTCATCCTTCCTTCCCTTTCGTCCTCTTCCTTCCCTTCCTCTTCCTCCCCTTCATTTCCCTCCTTCTTCTCCTCTATTCTTGACTCCTCTTAATCCTTCCCTTCACTTCCACCTTCCCCTATTCATAATTTTCCTCCTTCTCCTCTCCTTTTTATCCTCCTGTTCTTCCATTTCCTCCTCCTCTTCCTCCGCCTCCTCCTCCTCTTTCTCTTTCCCTCCTCCTCCTCCTCCGCCTCCTCCTCCTCCTTTCCTGTTCCTCATTTCTTCCTTCCCTTCTCGTCAGTCTCATATGTTTTCCTTCTCATGCTGTTTTGCAAGCGTCGCGCATGACACAAGGGTTCCAGGGAGATGAAGGGTGGGGGAGGGAAGCATGGGAGGGGTAAGGGGTAGGGGAAACATGGAGGGGAGGGGAGGGAGGAAGCATGGGGGGTAGGGGAAGCATTGGAGAGGGGATAGGGAAGCATGGGAGGGGAAGGGTAGAAATCATGGGAGGGTAGGAAGCATGGGAGGGGGATAGGGGAAGCTTGGGGTAGGGGAAGCATGGGAGAGGGGGTAGGGATGGCGGAGGTGGGTGTTGGGGAAACATGGGAGGGGGGGTAGGGGAAGCATAGGCGTGGGGTAGGGGATGCTTGGGCGGGAGGTGCGGGTGTTGGGAATCATGGAAAGGAGGGGATGGAAAGCATGAGGGGTAGGGAAGCACGGAGAGAGAGTAGAGGGAGCTTGAGCGGGGGAAGGAGACAGGAAAAGCTTGAGCCGGGGCGGGGTTCAGTACGTCTTCGGAGCTCCTCGAACGCGCCTGGACGAAGAGACAAGCAAGCAACGCCAGAGCACCGTGCAGTCAGACCCAGCGGCTCGTTTTGCACTCGGGCGTCTCGTAGAGTGATCGGCAAGAACGGTAAGGCAGCCGATGTTACAGGACTCGGAGGATCGTCTCCTTGTTTCGGTTTTGAAATACGTGAAATATCATCATTCACTATAGCCGGATGAGTCTCTCAAAGATGTAAATATCTTAAAAGCTAAATTCTCGGTTCTACATATATGATTTATGAATCTACATGTATGATTTATTTCTACATATATGTTCTACATATACGATTGATTTCTACATATATGTTTTACATATATGATTAATTTCTAATAATGTTCTATATATATGATTAATGTGATCTTAAAAGCTAAATAATTCTGTTCTACATATATATGATTTAAGGTTCTACATATATGATTTATTTATTTACGTTCTACATATATGATGCTACATATGTGATTTAAGGAGACAGTCGCTGTTAACGACATAACAGCAATTTTTTTTCTTACTGAGACCTACCCTTTATTATTTATTCCTGCATGGAAGTGTAAGTGTACTCGTGATAAGAATCCTTTTAATCACGCATCGTCCGGATGACGTTCGGATATATGGCGAAATGATGCAATATGAGGCCATGCGTTAGGTAGCTTCACCGCCAACTTGTCGTTAACTTCACAGTGATTTCCGCCGCGTTTGAACACGGTTGTGGGGGGGGGGGGGGTTATGTCGTGGTGATGTCGTTTCATTAATTCCGTTGAGGTTGTGGTTGTTATTTGTTTCATTATTGTTACTTTTTCATATTTATCGTCTTCATCATCCTCATCCTCATCGCCATCATCATCACCATCATTAGCATCACCATTACCATTGATTCCACGATTATCCAAAAACATCAATGCTAACTCACACACCAATAATGTCAGTTTATAAACCTCTGTTCAGAAAACTACGAAGGTCCATTTCCCGTTATATCTCGCCGGACAGGCTTGTGACATGGCGAAATAGAGGAGAGTGTCGTGTGCATGGTATGTGCCACGTCAGCTGATAACAGTCGCCATGCAGCATGCGACATCTTTAACTGGTACATCAAATGCTTATGCATGGGGAACTCCGCCGCGCACGCACACACACACACACACACACACACACACACACACACACACACACACACACACACACACACACACACACACACACACACACACACACACACACACACACACACACAACACACACACACACAAGCAATGACCTATTCAAATAAATAAGTCGCCTCTTGCTTAACGTTATCACAACAGCTCAGTGGTTAGAACACTGGAGTCCCAAGCAGAGGGTCCCGGGTTCGAATCCCACCCGTGTCAGTAACAAAAACACAGTCACGCAAAATACTTGCACATACACGAAACACACACCCTTACACAGATACACTTCAAACAACATGCACAACATGCCTGCGCGCCCTTCCGGTAAATCTGGGACGTAACAGATTGATCCTGTATGCTGTCGTATGTATATGAACGCACGTACAACCTATGCTGGCAGGGCATTCCCTTCTATAGACTTTTATTCTAACGCGTTTATATATAGTTTTGAGGTCGACGGATCTGTCTATCTACCTGTTTATCTATATCTCTCTTATCCTCTAATTCCATCTATCTATCAGTCTTTCACTTCACTCTCTCAAAGTCGAAATGATATCATGAAATGTACCTGGTATTTAGCATAGTCATGGTGTCTATAGGTCGTTCTCGTTGCGTTTGTTTGTTTGTCTGTAGGTGGACATAGAATAAATAAGATACGTAAAATATAAGGGTGTTTCCCCCTGTCTACCCTTTCTTCTCATCTTCCTCTTCCTTCTCTTCCTCCATTTCTTACTCCCCCTCTTCACCCCTTCCCCTCTTCCTCCTTTTCTTCATCTTTCGGTTGTCTTTCCTCTTCCTTATTCCTTATCTAGTATTCCTCCTCATTCCCTTTATTTTCCTTCTCCTCCTTTCCTTCATTTTCCTCCTCTTCCCTTCATCTGATTTCCCTCATTAATTCCTTTCTTTTCTTCTCCTTCCTCCTCCTATTACATTTCCCTCTTCCTTCTCGTTCCTTTCTTTTTCCTCTTCCCCTTTCTTTTCCTCCTCCTCCTTCCCTTTTTCTTCATTCCCTTCTCTTCCCTCGTCCTCCTTCTTTCTCCCTCGTCATCCTCCCATTGCCTTTTCTCCTTCCCCTTCCTTTGTCTTCCTTCCTCCTCGTATCCTCTTCTTCCTCTTACTCCTTCCCTCTTTTTACTCTCCTCCACCTCCTGCTTTCCTCCTCCTCCTTCCTTTTTCTTCCCCGTTTACTTAGATGCTTTAGAACTAAAAGGATCGTATGAACATTTATATATGTATAGATATTTATTTAGATAGAATGGGAATGATCCCTTTTAGTAAGTTTCTGATTGAATGAGGATGAATGGAATGATCCCTTTTTGAACTTTTAACTTGTTTTCCCCCACATGGTCTGGTATGACGGTAGATTAAGTGGGGGTAAATTGGGTTTTAATATAATTATTTTCTTGCTCTGGGTTTCTTGTAATTTCTACAAGACCCTGTAGGGAATTTACGGTCATTCAACATTGTTATTATCATCAATGTGCATTTTGAGACGCTCAGAACCGACTGCACTGCTGCTCGTCACTCCTTCGACGTGAGTGCAGGCTGTGCCAAAAGGTCAGACCAGCACTGATAGGATTATATTTGTCCTTTGTGGATGAAAGAAAGGTTGTGACCACCCACCGTGATCGACGAAGGGATGCTGGTTTTAATTTACATTTCAGCTGTGCGTGTTCCACTCTAAGAGTCTAATTGTCTCTCAAGTCTAATATCTATTTTTCCTGTTTACTTAGAACATTTTCTAGAATCTTGTTATCCATATCAAACGGTCTATATCTTATGGATACAAGTGTATGTTTTGCTTGGATTTAGGATTTGAACTTTCGTTGCTGCTTTCGATTGATTTCTCTTCATATCTTGAAAATTTCAGCATATTTCCTTATACTTGTATTTTTTATGTTGTAAAGTTTGATTTTCAGTGTCAAAAATCTTTTCACAGGTTTCTTGTGAAAAGGAACAGGTGTTTTCTGCGCACCTGCGGCATGCGGGAGGAGTCGCCGTGACGTCACCGCTCGGGCAGCCCTGCCACGGGTCCGGTCTACGTGTCC